TGGGGTGGATGAAATAGAGAAAAGACGTATCCGATCTATTATATCAAGCGGCATGCCACGTATCTGCGAGGCAGCCAGCGGCGACGGTCGAACTGGCCGAGAAGGGTTCATCTCGGTGTTGAAGGTGCGAATTGGAGACATTGGGTCGGGAACAGCCGTTGCTGTCTTCGCCGACAACGGCGATGCGCTCCCACGGCCATGTCGTCTCATCTTGCGCGTTGTCAAGATTTTTTATAGAAAACGAAAGGAGGGCGGAAAAGAAAAGAAAAGAAAAGAAAAGAAAAAGAAATGCAGCAACCCCGACAGTCTCCTCCCAGAACGGAAGATGCAAATAGAGCTGCGGTTATTATGATTAATTATGAGCTTACAATCCGGTAGCCGAGCGCGAACTGTGGGGACAGGGCCTGGAGGAGATTTTTATAATTCCCGTATCCAACAACAATTCATGGCGGCCGTTCCAAGGTAGCAATGACAACAGAAGCTTGGATGTGAATGTCGAACGTCGATCAATCATTGGCTGAGAGAAGCAGTCATAGCTAATGAGTTCATGGAGGGAGATCAAGGTCAGGCTGCTGCATTGATTATCAGTACGGTGTTATATGATTCTATGTGGAGTTGGAGTTGAAGTTGCTGACCGCGCAAGAAGACAAGGCGGGAGAGAGCGAGCCCGACCACCACAACTGATAGAGTTGCCGAGCAGCTCCCAGAGGCGCTGGAGGCGGTGCAAGGCTGTTCCCTGCCGTCTTTCGAAGCTGACTGATGCCACAGAGGGGGATTTCCAGGCTGCAGGCCCGAGTCTTGGAGCTCCCTGGCGCAGGGCCGGATGGAGGAACAGCAACGAGCACGAGCGCGGCGAAAAAGTGGCCAAGAATTGGCAGCCTGCGGAAATGACGGTGACGGCTCCTGTGTACAGAGCCGGACGGGAAGGTCTCTGTCTCTGTCGCTGTCGAGGTGGCAGGCGAGGTGAGGTCGCGGAATGAGAGGAGCAGTCGAGCGAGGACGAGCGAGACGTCGAAGATGATGACGGAGGACGAGACGGCGAGCAGAAAAGCAACACTAGAAAGGCAAAACGCAGGGGCCAGAATGGGGCTTGGCGTCACTTTTTTCGCGGGGGAGTCACGTGGAGAAGCCGAAGCGACGAAAAGGGAAAAAAAAAAGGAAAAAGAAAAAGATGAGAGGAAAAAAGAACAACAACGACAAACCGCTGGAAAGAAGAGAGAGAGAGAGAGAGAGTCGAGAACGAGACGCGGGAGCGAGACAGAGACGAGGAGATGATGAGCAGGAGGAAGCAGAAGACGCAGAGACGAGTCGACGGGTGCAAGTGCGTTTTCAGCCCCTGTTTCAACCCGCATGAGCGTTCTTCACCTGCGGCGGCGGGTTTGTCATCGCCTTCCCTCGACCCGGCCACCCGCTTTTCTAGAAGCTTGCCAGCGCTGCTCCCTTGCTTGCTGCCGGGCTCTCGGGCTCCTGGCCGCTCGATGCAATAATAATAATAATATACGACTTTAATACATGCTCCGCCGTCTCGGATCCCTGCATGATAACTTGACTGCTTAACAAACCCACCTGATGCGTTGGCGAACTCTCTCTCCCAAGCAGCTATTGGCCACAACGACCCCATGTCCAGTCAGAAGAGCCGTCTCCATCTCCACTGCACTCAACAATCGATTCGATCTCATAGCGTCTCGGATGGGGGAGGCTTTATTTCTTTTTTTATTTCTTTTTTTTTAATCCCCCCCCCCCCCCCCTTCTGAAAGCTTATTTTCGATGATTGGAGAGAGGAGGGAGGGTTCACGGAGAGGGCCTAACAACCAAGAAGTAGGTGGCTACTTCGTACGGTCGAGAGAAGAGCATAACCAAGGAGGCACGCGAGCAAGTGACAGCGCCGCCTGCAAATGTACTTCACGGCACAAGAACGCCGTTAGACAGAGAGCTTGCTCGCTAACTCGCTAGCTCAGCCGTGTTTGTCCAGGTAACCCTAGAACCACAGAGGTCGAGTAATGGGGCCTTATCCTCTACATATGTAATCATCAGCTTTGATGGATGTCGTCAGGACAAACCGTGACAAGGCAGGATCCCCTTCTGCTGCCAATTTGAAGCATAACCGGTTTACACGTCAAATGGGAGTGGACAGAGGCAAATCAGGCACGCTCCCAATGTTGCCACAGTTACTGTCATGGCCCACGGAGTCGTCTGGGTGAGGGTCCCATCCGGTTGTCTCATACTTAACTCCGGCCCTTGCTGCCGAATGTCTGGGGAACTCTTTGATGCATATGTAACTAACGGCTTCAATGGCTATATCTCCTGGTATTAAGAACAAGCTAGTTCGGTAGCATAATTAAGGAGAGCCCATATGATGCATTTAATAGAGGGAAAGAGGGGAAATATATGTGTACAACCTGCTTGCTAAATGGGCATCTGGTCTGTTATAAATCTCATTGAGAAAGCTAAGGAAGTTCGTTGAGCGATATATCTTTCGGTGCAGTAAAAAGCAGCGGGATATAGTCGGGCATTGAGATGCATATACGGAGCAAGAATCTCTTACCTACTGGGATATGACCGCTTGGTACGGAGTACATGCTAAGGAGTGTAGAAGTATCGCTCTGCATCAGTTTGGGTATTCGACCAGGTAGTTGCGTCCAGCAGGGCCGCAACAATGTCATTTTAGCTACGGTTAGCCGCTTTAGTATCAAAGCTTGCAAGGCACAGTTAATATCAGTAAATATGCCATGCCGTGGGAAACGACCTAGAAGAGGTAGGTAGATCCTATCCTACGGGAAAAAACCTAAATGTATTTTCTAAACCCGAGCACTGCCAGATACCTAGTTCCAAATTGTTCCGTAAGATAAATGGCTGAAAAAAAATAGAAATAAAGATAAACCAATTGAAAATAACAAATTGTCAAGAGGAGATGGTGCATATGAACTGTAAGAATCAAGCTATTCTATCATTCCTTCTAAATCAGTATAACTCATATGTTGTGTACACATTCACAGTGGTTACCGTAGCCACCTGCACTGGGCGGATTGAAAAACGTCCACTCGAAATAGCATCACGAATATCGCAGGGTAGCATGGGGAACAGAATTCCCAATGAGCCGCATGGGCCTTCGGTGATAAGGTCATAGTCACTCAGATACTCAAGTCTGTACAGAGGTATGCCTGAAACCATATGGAGCTGGTAGAGGGTCGCATCAGATACCGGACCATACTCTGGTAGTAGCGGTGGGATTTGTGCACGCGGTGCTAAAGTGCAGCAGTCACGGCAACATATTGCTAAGTCGGTACGTTCCAATTCTCGTTGACGTCGGTGCCGTCTTCGGCGGGCGCGGCTGGATGATCTACGATCATCTCTCTCTTCGTCAAAATGGACGCGTCGTCGGCGAGAGCGGCCGGCGATTGGTAACGGGCCATAGTCTTTGCCGCCGCGAGAAGCTATACGATCATTCCCTTCGTCTCCAAAAAAAAAGACTTCTACGTCTGGAGCCACCAGCTGTTGGCGGACGACCATAGTCTCTGCGGCTGTTGGAGCTGCCAGCTACTAGTGCATTGTCATAGTATTTCCGACCACCTGTATAGGGTACTAAAGCAGTGCTGGTGGGCAGTGCAAAGGGATCCGAGGCTCTAGATGAGCTCTCAGGAATTTGCAATGCCCTAGATGTCGATCCGTAGACTTTGGATATTCTAGATTTTGCAGAACTTGCATATCCATCAGGTGGTCGTGGTGAGCCTGTTGCATAACGCTTGGAGTCGCGTTCTCCATACTCCGGTACCTTCTGCGCCTTGTCTTCTTTGTAAGCTAGAAAGTCCGGAACCGCTGATTTGCCGGAACGGCTAGAGTATGTCCCCTTCTTGGTAACCATGGTAAGAGCTCCAAGCAGTATTTCGTCTTGGAGATGATAGTCTTCAAATGCGATAGTGGAGAGTGTCTGGGAAACAGAAGAACTGGGGTTACCACCCAGGTATTTATATACCCATTTCAGCAAGTGAAAATCGTGTGACTGCCGAACTTTCTATAATAAACGTGACATTTTCAACGAAGAAGTGTATCTTTGTCCATTCAATCCTCAACTCCATTCCAGGGTAGAAGGATAGTAGAGAGTGTGAAGGATTCTTTCAACGGGCTCATTGAGTGAGTCTTCCACTTCGTTATGGTGATCCTAGTCTGCCAAAGGCATTGAAGACGAATTGAATATATTGCGGCCGTGATCCACGGAATGATGCAAACAGGTCCTGGAGTAGTCCATAAGCCAGACTCAGTTTTAGTCCAACTTTTGCCGTTCGAGCTGCCGTATAAACATCATGACGGGCTACAAGAGCAATCACTGAATTAGTAGCTAGTCATAAAGTATCATATAGTGAAAGTGAAAGGGAAGAAAAAGAAATATTACCGAGTAAGCTGTAGACGCCAGAGAAGGATAGCCCAGCGGTGACCGTGGATAAGAAGTCACGGCTCCCACGAGCATGATCAACCGTTTCTTCGAATATGCAAAAAGCCACGGCTCCTATTCCAACCTTCATGCCCAGCTTTGTACCCTCCTTCAAACCCCCGATCATGGATGTGTAATTTTTGCTCTTATGGTACTGGTACCATCCGGTTGGGTTGGTAGGAAAGCGATGGGCGTTCTCAGCACGAAATCGAAAGGCAGCCTTTGTGCTTCCGTGAGAAGCTCCCAGAGCCATCCCTGAGGCGAACGCAGCCATTGCACTTAGCGGAAGACGAATGCCTACATCGGTTCCTAGACGCGGCGGGTTGTTGTTGTCGAAAACTGCGGATAGGGTCACATCGTCCTCCTGCGGCGGAACTTGCGCTTGCAGCGATCCCATGGCGTCAATTGCGTCTTCTCTCTCTTTTTTTTTTTGCCCTAGCTCACAGCCACTGTGTATGTCAGGAAGTCGAAGGTTGTGTGCGGGTCGAGTTTGCGCTCTTCCCACGACCAGGAGAAGGAGGAGCTCGATGTTTTTTATGCTCGAGAGAAACTGCTGAGCTTGGCGGCGGAGGCAGCGACGCCAAGACTGGCAAAGCTGTTGCGCGCGAGAAACAATCCAAGGCCATCCATCCGTCGCTGACAAACGGCTACCATCCTTTAAACAACATCGCACCTAGGAGAGCATTAAATGTCATATTTGGTTATTTGGCTACTGGAAATCCTCTCATTTTTAACATGGTAAGCACGTATGGGAAGGGGAGCAAAATGACATCAAACTAATCCTTCTTTCCTGCAGGCCGAGCCAAGATGGACGCTCCGGTTAAAGAATCACAACGTCACCGTTCTACTGCTGGTGTCTCCGGTCGATGCGTTCGACACTATCAAAGCCGCTCTATTAAAAGCGCTTTGGATTCGTGGGATAAAAGAGATAAACGGGAAACCTGTACCAGATGACGTAGCAAATATCGAGCTGGGCGTCCCTCTTGACCGGAATAACCTAGAGAAGGGCTGGCAACCGCTGACAATACCTGATGGCAAGACAGATAAGGGGGCGGGGAAAGGGAAGAGCAGTGTCTTCAACTCTAGTCCCCAAGGAGCCGATCTCAGAGATGCACAGGCTATTGCATTCAGATTTCGGAAAGCATCAGAGAGGAGCGCAGTCAAGGACGGTGATCTCGAGATGGATCTGGATGACCCCGGCTGGGATGTTCTGATTCCTTCATACGATGATGAAGACGAAGACGAGTGATGGCATATGCCTGGTTTTCAGAATCCATCGAATGTTCTAGCATGAGAATGTGATACTCAAGCGGATACATGGACATGGAGCACAGTAAACATGACACAACCGGCCCTTTGCAGGCCCTCCTAGAAAACTAGAAAAAACATGGACCAGAAACCGATATATCGCTTTCAGGCCTCGGGAGCTTCTTAGATCAACTTGCCATCAGGTTAGTGTAGGACTGTGTCTGATGAGCAGCAGGCCATTCCTCGATGCCGGCTAACACAGTAGATATATCCCCTACAAAACAATAATATCCAGCACTACTACGGAGTATAACTATCGCTTTTTATCATTTTCCTTGTAGATCTGCTGGGCCTTTTCATGCCCAAGTGCTCCAGTCCAGCCCTTGGGTCTTCCGAGGCCGTTACTATGGCAACCGGCGCCGGATTAACATGTTTGTTGGCTGCATCAACATTGCCCTATCAGGTCGAGTTCGACAAACCTGCAGACACGATTGGGGGAAAGCTGACAAGACGCAGTCTTCGAGTCTTCTCTATATTAAATAGCACATTTTCTACGTCTTCTCCAGCTATCCAGAAGGGTTTATTTTCTTACGCCTATATTGGCCGACACTCGAAGCTGTGCGCGAAATATATTTGTTTACTCCTTAATCAATCTGCACCCATCAGCAGCAGTACCCTCCTCAGGCGATATCTCCCAGAGACATAATGGCGGCCTCGGGCGGCGCGTCTTCAATCCAAGTGACCGTTCGAGTGCGGCCATTTACTATTCGAGAGGCCGCACAGGTATCTAAATGCGACGATGGCATGGTTTTCATGGGCGACGGGTCCCTGGCTGGCAATTCAGCCCCGAAGCTACAACAAAAGGGTCTACGATCTATTGTCAAAGTGGTGGACGATAAGTGCCTGTAAGCAAATATTTGGTTTACCTGCCCCCATTAGCATACTTGTAGGTTGCATTGCTAACACCCTTTTCCCTCTATTATATAGAGTATTCGACCCCCCTGAAGATAACCCCTTACAACGGTTTTCCAGATCAGTCATTCCGAACAGGGCCAAACGCGGCAAAGATCAGACATTTATGTTTGACCGTGTCTTTGATGAGAATACCAGTCAGGGAGACGTGTATGAGGCGTCTACAAAACATCTACTCGATAGTGTGCTGGAAGGATACAATGCTACAGTCTTTGCTTATGGAGCCACAGGGTGTGGAAAAACACATACAATCACAGGAACTCCACAGCAGCCTGGAATAATCTTCTTGACGATGCAAGAACTGTTTGAAAAGATTGCAGAACGGTCGGAAGAGAAAGTCACCGAGCTGTCATTGAGCTATCTGGAAATATACAACGAAACGATTCGGGACCTGCTTCTTCCCGGCGGAAGTAAACAGGGACTTATGCTCCGAGAAGATGCCAACCAGAGTGTATCCGTATCTGGATTATCGACTCATCGTCCTCAGAATGTACAAGAGGTGATGGATATGATCATGAGAGGAAACGAGTACCGAACAATGTCTCCTACCGAGGCTAATGAAACATCCTCTCGATCCCATGCTGTGCTCCAGATAAACGTGGCGCAGAAGGACCGTAATTCAGACCTCAATGAACCTCATACGATGGCAACCCTGAGCATTATCGATTTGGCTGGAAGTGAGCGAGCAAGCGCTACTAAGAACCGCGGTGAAAGACTAGTCGAGGGCGCAAATATCAACAAATCTCTCCTCGCTCTGGGCAGCTGCATCAACGCCCTATGTGATCCCCGGAAGCGCAACCATGTTCCATACCGCAATTCGAAATTGACTAGATTGCTGAAGTTCTCTCTCGGGGGCAACTGTAAGACGGTCATGATCGTCTGTGTTAGCCCTTCGAGCCACCATTTCGATGAGACTCAGAACACACTGCGCTATGCCAACCGGGCCAAGAATATCCAAACGAAGGTTACAAGAAACGTTTACAATGTTAACCGACACATCAAGGACTTCCTTGTTAAGATCGATGAGCAAATGGCCCTTATCAATGAACTAAAACAACAGCAAAAGGACTACGAGTCCGTCGCCTTCGCTAAATTCAAGAAGCAGAACGAAAAGAAAGAATCCGTGCTACGTGAATCGTTTGCACGTCTTCGCAGTGCGTACGAGCATGCCTCACCCGAGAGACAGGAGAAAATTGATTGTATGGTGCGACTCAAACAAGTCAGTCGACGGATGTCAATGCTCTCTGCATGGATCGCTGCGTTTGACAACGTGTGCGCCGCTCGTGGGCAGGATAATACCCTGTCTAACCTCCAGGCAATTCGCAAATCTGCTCAAGGAGTACTTTTTGAATTGGAAGGTAGCCGCCAGCATTACCATCAGAAAATTGGAAAATCTTCTTGGGAGCGAGCCTTGGATTCTGCGCTGGAAGTGGGTATAAAACAACTCCGCGAGTTGGAAACGTGTGATCATACCGATATCGAAAACCTCAAACGAGAAGCTCAATTATTGAAATCTAATGCTCAATCTGAGGCTTTGAGTGCTGTGTCAGATCAGGACAAGACCAGTGAATTTGAGATTGCTCAACGGCTCCTTGAAGCGAACTTTGAAACCATATCAGCCATCGAACATATAATGCAGCTTTCGGAAGACGAAGCCATTGAAACAGGGAGGAAAATTCTTGGAAAACTTTTAGAATCATGTTGTGCTAGCACATCTAATGTTGTTAAGCCAAACGGAAGCAGTCCTATTAAAGCAGAAGCATTCCCGCCTACTAAGGCCGGAACTCCGAAGAGACGAAAGAGAGTGAGCCTGGTTGGACGGGCCTCACTCTCGAAATCCCTTGTTCCTCCTGTCACCATAACTCCCCCTGCTAACCAGACGCCAATGAAGGGATCTCCCCGGAGGAGAAAAGGACCTGGACTCAGAAAGAGTGTATACTTTACGCCAAAGAAAGCAAGCAAGCCTGGAAAGAGAAATGTCAGATGGAAAGATGACACCGCAGACGGTCCTCTTGCAGAATTCTCGAAAACTCCGCAAAAAGCTGCTCCATCCCCATTGCCATCGTCGGGCTCACCCTCGTCTCTCCCGGTTCCAACCATGGGCTCTTCTATTCCTCTACGGTCTGGCTCGAGGGAATCCTCTCCAATACCAACTCCACCATCTTTACCTAGTATGTATTCTAAAAACTCGAGATTCCAGACTGGTTTTTTGTCTAAGAAAGCCAATGAGGGCTCCCCCGGTCCAGCACCCGCGCCTCCTAGCTTAGCCAGACTTTCTTTATCGGATACGGAACAACCCACTCCTCTACGCCAGATCAGCAATAGCAGCACTCTAAATCGGAGGTCTCTCGATCATGAAACGGACAGCCATCCCTCTGCCTCTGAAGCCGAACCTATCAAAATCGATAAGATGGATGCTGTTAAAATCGGCTCTGCCATGCGACGCATCTCCAATGCTGGTTCTGGATCCACCGGATCTACCGATCGGCCTCGTCACCGTAGCCCAAGCGTTTCATCAAATAGCCCCCCAAATGAAAATGCCATGTTTACTGCCTCCCAGGCCCGAAGAATGGTAAAAAGCGAAAAGGATCAGGAAGAGAAATACGGTGTCTTGGGTCCCAGGACGTTCCCGGTCACTAAACCAGGCAGCCAACGACGAGTTACGTCCATCGACCTGAAAATCAGAGACGTGAGCAATTCGAGTAGAGACGGCGTCAGGTTTAGCACACCTACTATGACTTCTGGTGGTCAGCCTCGACCGAGCTTGCAGGGGTCAGCAGCCAATGCATATCGGTGATTTATCATTTTCATTTCTTCCCATCCCCAATCTTTCCTTTATTCTATTTCTTACATAGTATTATACCAATTAAATTTCCGCGCAAGGGGGGGGCTGTAAGTGAGTGTTGTGGCTGGCGTTGTGTGGAAAATTAGTTTAGCATTGCCATTCGGTTGTCATTTCTCCTTTGTATTAATTCAACTTTTCTTGACAGAATGTACTTCCGTTTACGACGCTCTAATGATCAGGGCTGTCTACTTCTTCAATACTCGTTGAGTTTTACTGGTTATTATTACTGTCAGCATAGAATAAACCATTCACTTGGTTTCCTGATAGCTATTTTATTGCTAGTGAGTTGTCCAGCCTCATATCCAAAATACCACCAATGGTTCAGGTAAAAGGCCATCTCCACCACTGTATTTCAAGAGTATCTACCGGCCACACAGCATTATGGGCCAAATAGTATTCCTTCGTTTAATTACGCAGCTAGCAACTCCAGCTCAAAGTTGAGGGGCGGTTTCTCGGAATACGGCGGCGAACTCGACAAATCGCGGATAAACAGACGGGGTAGGTATCATGGCATGCTATATGAAGTAACATTGTAAAGATGTGCCAAGAAGAAGGATATCAATCAGCGGGAGTACAAGAGGAATGCCATGGTTGAGTTTCAGTCCATCAACGTCTGGTAAAGGAAGACATGTTTTAACAATGAAACGGATGGGAGATCGGTTGATTTCGAGCTCGGGCGAAGGTATACAGGACGGTCTAACGTGGGAGGATGACAGCCGTCATTCTAGGCTAGCCCCTCGGAACCTTTTAGCAAGTTGTTCACCATCCGAGTTGGAGTTATGTGAAGAGTTGTGGAATGAGGAAGAAATTGGGGATTGACGCTTAAAGGGCCATGATCGTTTTGGGGGCGTCTCACCGCTCTCCTGAAGTATTGTCACGAGCGTGGCCCAGCCAGCTGTATTGAGCAATTGTATGCCATCGGCGGGATCATGTTTCGTAGCCACAGTGCAAAGAAGAGCCTCCTCATCCTGTTTCGAGTGAGAAAGAATACTGTCTTAGTCCGAGAAAATGATGTAGTTATTGGGGGATGGTTTATATTCTTACTCACCTCGTTGAGGATACCCATTCCATGCAAGAAGGTAAGGAGATGAAAGTTGGAAACAGCTTTGATGATTGTGTTAGGATCACTGCTGTCGGTCAATTTACTCGCAACACGTCTTAGATCTTGGCTTTCACCAATGAACTCTCGGTTTTCAATCGGGAAAGACGTGTCTGTGAAGACCGTGGTTGGCGTGGTAGGGAATCCGTGTGTGAGAGTGACAAAGAGGTATTCAACCGGAAAACTCGGTTTGGCATTCTCCTGAACACTGACTTTGTATTCATTTATTCTCCGGTAGAAAACCTCTGGAATATAGCGTGTGATGTTTGCATTGTTAAGCTCGTCTTCTTGTTGAACCAACATTACGGATGGGTCAGCGGATGGCTCGATTATATCTGCCCGCACCATTTCAACAGCAGAGTTGGAAGCCTGATAGGCACACACAGAAATTGCACCGTTCTCATCTCCGCTCAGGACACAGGTAACAAAATTTGAGCCGAATTGGCCGGTTTCACTCCACTTGCATGGTTTGGGGTTCCGTGCCTGAAGCTGGGATGCAAAGACAACCTCTAATGAGGAGAGATAGTAAGAATCGATATGTCGTTTGCAGACGACAGTTCCATCTCCGGCACCAGCATCGATGAGATCGGTGAAAATCACGCCTATCTTTTCCATTCCACAGAGTTTGGCTACATGGTCAACGTCCTTTTCGTTATTCCATTCGTGAAGGGTTACACCATCCACTTCATCCACTTGCGGTGGTTCATATATAGCTTGTACCACGGCTTTTATACCAAGCGGGACTTCCGTGTATTCTTCATATGTTCCGTAAAGGAAGCCAATTCTCTGAGATCCTGTCTTTCGCCAAAAGTCTAGGAGTGAATTGATAAGGTCAGGCGAGGAAAATTCGACATGATCAACCATCCTGAATTGTTGTGGTTGTAAAGTGATGGCACTTGGCTGGCATTTAGTACATATACCTTCAGGCCAAGCTGGGTGTCCAGATGGACAATCCTTCCTCACTCTATAAAACGGCTCTGAAAGGGGAGGCATGTAGGAGCTCTTCAGCTCTGGCTTGTTGGTAGACGAGTTGATTTTCCGAAGGTATGAGTTGAATGAAAGATGTTTTATCTTCTTTTCAGCCAGGTACTCTGGGGCATACGGTTCCAACGGCATGCAATAGTCACACATTCCCTTGGGACCATGTCGACACATCTTTTGATCAAGGGAGCGTGGAATCTTCCCATCTTTTTTGTCCAATCGGTTATCCAAATCCGATTGCCTCACAATTTCCCAGGGATTCTTTATTATGGCTGTGGGAGAGGTTGGTCGTTTTGTTGATGACGAATCATCCCGTTCAGGTACGGCACCGCCATCAAGACGGTGTGATGACTCTTGCTTTTTTGTAGCTCCTGTCTGTCCATTTAGGGAGCCATTTGCTGTGGATTTTTGCTCCTCATAGCCAACGAACAGCTTGTCACCGTGTCTGCGGTTTTCGGGTCAGTCATCACTGGGATCACCAACTTTATACTGAACAGCCACTCACGATAGCCCAACCCTCTGTATGGAAATCCCCTTTAACGTTGTAAGATTTCTCTCCTGGCCACCGGTGCCTATTGGTTTGTTCGAAAGAGAGACTGTGGTTGGATCGGTATCTTTAGGTAGGTTCTCAAGGATCTAGTAAATACGGCATGGCATGGTTAAAATCTTACTGCCTAAAAGAGCACCAAGGGTAAAATTGGGAGGCATCTAAAGCAAGATATACATACCTTTGGCAGTAGAGCCGTAAATTGTTCAGTCGGGCTAACCGTCAATCGAAACTGGCCGTTCCGGCTCTCAAATCTTAGAATTATTGGCCGCGGGGAAGCCATGTCTGGAGCGAGAAGGGTTCAAACTGTATCATTTGCTGTACTAGGAGAGAACTAAATAGCCACGGGAGCAAGTCGGAGCAAGTCTAGGGGGTTTTATGGTGAAAATGAAATGGTGAAAATGCTTCTTTGGCCGTGGACTTTTCTTTAGCCGTTGAAGTGTTTTTTGATGCTGCTGGAAGAAGGCAGAAGCTCAAAGTTCGTCATAGCAGAAGCAGTGCTTAAAAGCGGCGTCACTCTGGGTGCTATCTTGGTTGATGAGCTCAAGGAAACTAGCGCCGCTTTAAAGGTTACTATCTGGCCTGTTTTCAAATTGATACGAAGAATTCACCATCCTTCCCCAGCTTTCAGCCAGAGTCATAGTGCCATTATTATTATTATTATCATTATGCTCTCACTTGGAGAAGACTATGCACCCACAGATCTGAGGTGGATACCATGACAGAAATACATATACCCGGATGCTTTGAACACCAGCACTCTCTTGAGACTATCTTTTTAAGTGAACGGATTGGTTGAACTTGAAGAGAATTCACATGAATCATTAAGCAGAAGCTAAGGGTAATGAATATTGCATATATTTCTCACTTTACGGGGAATACAAGCAAAGTTCCCCCTGACCCATAGATGACTGAAAGTGTCTATGCAAACTTGACCTTTGAGACGGTCTCGTAAAATCCCTTACCCTGTGCCTGAGCAAGCTCAAGCTCGAGAGCAGTGGGTTGACGAGAACCATCGGCTCCCTAGAAAATTGATGAATGTTAGCAACCGTGGGGTGGATCATTGAAACAAAGAGCTTTCGATTGCCAAAAGGTGTCAAAAAGGTGATGACTTACAGCAAAGGTTCCAGCACCCCATGGGCTACCACCACGAACCTCCGAAACGTTTGCCAGCATTGGGAAAGTGTTCTTGTAGCCCAATGGGACAAAGATCATTCCGTGATGGACGAGAGTGCTCATAGAGGCGATGGCAGTCGATTCCTGGCCGCCTCCGGGAGTACCGGTAGAGACGAACACGCCTACATACTTGCCATAGAACTCGCCCTTGGCCCAGATACCGCCGGTCTTGTCCCAGAATGCCTTCCACTGCGCAGGGAAGTTTCCATAACGGGTTGGGATGCCGAACAGGATAGCATCGTACGCGAGCAGATCCCTGGGCTCAGCAACTGGGTGTTTTGACTTTGCTGGAGCATGCATTTTGGCCAGAACTTCTTCCGGGAGCGTCTCGGCAATTCTAGATTCATGAAGCGTTAGTTCGTGGGGTTGGGACCAGGCCCCAAAGCAATGCGCAGATGCGACGGGGTGGAAAACGGGAGGGGAGGGGCTAAAATTACTGGTAAATGTCGGCGGTGCCGCCCGCAGCCTCGATTCCCTTCTTCTCGGCTTCAGCCAGCGTCTTGATGTGGCCGTACATCGAGTACTAGTCGGGAGGTCCTTGTTAGCATTGGAACCAAGCGCATGCAAAAGTCCGTGGAAGAGGCGCTTCGGGAGACCGAAAGGGAACACATACATAAACAATTGCGATCTTTGGACAAGCCATGGTGTGCAGAAACCGACTGGAATAAGCTGGAGTGTGGAATTGAAGGAGCTCGACGAGGGCAGAGCAGAGAATGCGACAGCTGCTTTGGTGCGTTGGTGTTGTGGATGGCGATGCTGGTAGTTAGAAACCCGTAGTCACGGCGGGGGAGGGGCAGCTCTTATATAGCCGGCCACACAAACCTGTTACGGCTCCTAACCTGCGCTGCTGCTAATAAAATCACTATTAAAAACAAACACGCCCGGAAGTCGCAGCAATGACGTACCGGGATAGCCAGCAGGTTCCTCTCGGGCCCAGAACAGCTTACGGAAACCTTACAAAGGGAGGCAAAATAGCACCTAAGCTATGGGGCAGGGAGCTCCAGCGCTGCCAACTTACTCGCATCTTATTATTAACAGATTGGAAATCCATCACTTTGGCAGCTAACTCACTAGCTACCGAGTGAGTGTGACTGGACCCCGCTGTGGCCTTGCATTGCTGGTGTCCTCCCGGGACCTTATCCACCCACACTGCTTGATGCTGCCCGCAGCTCTGGAGAGCTGTGTACATACATACATATCTACTCTCGCAGTTCTTGCTTGCAGCCGATCCATTCACAAGGAAAAAGCAATAAATCACTTTGAAAATGATCGAATAATCATGACCAAGTCTTAGTAATCGGCTCACCAGGTCATGTGATGGCACCGACGGGCTGAAACCTCCCCCGTCGACCGTCGAGTTTCCCCAGGATGCCCCGGGAGGGGAAAAAAGGGGGTGTTTGATTCCGTTCTGTTGTTGGGAGGAGTTGAGCTGCTCCCGCTATTTGCTCTCTGCTTGTTGGTCAATTGCGCGCGTCCAGACAGAGTAGACAGGCCATTGGACCTGTCGGACAGCTTGAACCTGCCATGGTGACGACCCCCCAGCCCTGGATGGCCCAGTTCTCCCGGTATATCAATTCCGCACCCGGCATAGAAAACACCCTACGGCTCTTGCAGTTCTCCTGTGTCATCCTCGAGTCGTTTTCCGGGGCCTCTCCTTCGCCTTGGTCCAGGGCAGGTGGCCAGTTTGCACTGAGTATGTACCGACATGTGCATAAATTCAACATGGGTGCACTCGGTGGGAGAGCAATTCACTTTCTGTTTTAACCATGGGTCTAGGTCGCCGCTATTTTCGGTTTTTCAAGTTTATCGATTACTTTGAGAATGCATGGGCAGCATATACCTTGAATGACAGTGCCCCGGCTCACCGGCGAGGATCAATTGCATCAACCCTCGATTTCAGCAAATGGAGTCTTCTCGGTGTTTACCTGTTGCTGGAAGGCGTAACAATCGTAGGTTGCACCTGAAAGCTGTAGCTTAAAACCAGCACATGGTTTCCATTTGTAGCTGATGGTCCCCATAGTTTGATGCGCTGGGCGTTCAAAGAACGTCATGGGGTGATAGAGCTTTGCTTGAGAGCAACAAGTTCTGGCTATATGCCCTGGTCTTCTCACTCCTGAGCACCCTGTGGCAGCTGACCCAGCTACGCCAGACTCCAAAAACTTCATCAGCAATCCAGAAGAAGGAAAAAGATCCCAATGCAAAGAATAATGCAGATGGCTTAGAAAAGGCACCATCCGTCGAAAAGCAGACAGTCAGCAGCACTGAGTTTATCATCATCTACCAAGACTTGATCAAGGACCTTATTATTACTGTCTGTGACATCTGCATTCCTGGACACGTTCTTGGTTGGATTCCAGTATCTGCCTCAGCGATGGGCAGCGCCGCAGTGCTGAGTACGCTACTTGTTGGGCGAGATCGTTGGGTCCAAGTCCGGGGTGTTGCCGGTAATTAACTTGCAGCCTGGCCTAAGGACTTTTGATGGTTTGAAGGCCATAGATGGAAGATACGTACATTAATGGCAACTAAACTGGGAATTCATTATATCCGGCAGTAATTATACACTTCAAGTTGATTACGAAGAACTGTAATCATCGCTCTGTCTAAGTTACGTCTCCTGTGGTACAAAGGATTTCCGTACCTGGCCACCTAGCTAATACAGGTACTCAATAGTTTAGCTAGGTCCCGTAGTTTTGACTCCTACACAGTATGCATATCCAGCCCAAAGGTTCTCCGTACAATCTGACTTGACCGTGGGGTTCCAAGCTAGGAACTGTTCTAAGGTAATGCCGAATTTCTTCGGGATCACAGTACAACTCTCGCCGTTGGTGACAGTGTGCCACTTATGCAAGCCGACGGTTGGCCTGTCATCGTCGGAGCGCCAGGAGATGGTTTAGAGGATGTCATGGGCGTCGTGGGCGTAGCAGAGGTCGAAGATGGGCCATCAGGTGTTGTTGTAGGCGTGGTTGGCGTGGGCTCCTCTTCATCTGAATCGTCACCTAATGCGTAGTACCGACCGCAATACCGGAAGCCTGGTTGGAAAGAACATTCTGGCCGATTAATATTACCCAGCCTTGCATTCTAGCTCTCGAAAGACTCGGGATCCACTCTATAAACCTGCGGAGGAATTTGGCAGTTACTGTTCCAATAGGTATTTGTGACATTTTACTGAAACTCAGCGCCATCAAAATAGTAGTTGCAGTCATCCCGAGTGCCCTCAGCAATAGGTGGGCCTGGGGGTGGTCTAGGGTACGGCTTTTCAGTCGCATCAGGTCGATCTTCAAATCGAATCCCAGTGGTCGTTGGCTCAGATCCAGTTGGGGTAGACACATATCCGGGCTTCCCAGAATATGTATTAACTGCAATCAAGCATGGTTGGTTCAACTAGTCGGTAAAAAAATCCCAAGGCATCAAGAAAACATACTATCCCCGACTGGTAGAACACAATAGCTCTCCTCGGCGTACAGATTAGTGCAGTTGCTATTCAGTGCTGGATTCAGGAAAATGAAGTTATCCATGGTGATGCCAAACTTCAGCACAATAAGATTACAATAGACACCATACTAACGGCCACAATAATGGTTTGAACCTGAAGCAGCGTCACTAGGGACCGGCACTGGCGTGACCCAGTTGTGCAGCGAAGTTTCCTTTGAACCCCCGAGTACTTAAGTTCTCTCAGCTTAAATTTCCTTCTACCCGACAAACAATCCCATAAACATCAAAATGTTAACAAAACTAGGTACCTCCTGAGCTTATCTCGGGTGTTCTCTTTAGGGTTGAGGATCGTCTTGATCTTAAATACTTGTCTGAAGTGTCCAAACGCCTCAACGAGCTCACAATCCCGCTGAAAGCTTTAGAATATGAGAGCACCACTGGGCTCACTAGTGCGGAGCTGGAAGACAAGAAAAGGTGGATTGACCCAGAACCCGAAGCACGGTTTTCCAAAGTCGTTCGTTACATGGAACTCAGACGGAGAGTCCTGTCCATTCTAATCAGATGCCAGGAGGGTAAACTGAGGAGCTTTAGGTGAACTATTAGTCACTATTACTCCTGAATAATATTTTTTGCTTGATACTAACATGGCGTACCAGATGGGATCGTCGCAACATAATTCCACTTGAAATACTAGGTGATGGTGGGTACCTGCCCACGAGACAATTATCACTAGAGACCCTGGTTATTCGTTCCCATGGAGCATATGGATGCCACATCTATGATACCCATTCATTTAAAAGCGCCTAATTTCTCGGATGCCCCTGTTTGCGAAAAAAAAAAAGTACTCGGATGCCCTTGTTTTATTTTGTAACTTTTAGAGATACACACACCATGTTTTCTATGTGTATCCCCTAGCCACAGAGCCACATATAAAGTTGCTAGAATGCCCTCCTTTCCTAACTACAGAGTATATATCTTAAGTATAACTAGTAGAAGACATAGTCTCCCTAACCTCCCTAACCCCCTAATATCCTAAGTTAAGTCCTTATTTTAAGCTAGATATTAGGGGACTTAGGAGGTTAGGGAGGTTAGGGAGACTGTGTCTTCTGCTAGTTATACTTAAGATATATACTCTGTAGTTAGGAAAGGAGGACATTCTAGCAACTCTACGTGTGGCTCTATGCCTTGGGATATATATATAAAACAGTATATATTACCCAAATACACGAGCTTTCCTCTATATAGTTAGGTAGTGTGGAGCAGGGGCATCCAAGCACTTTTTTTTGCAAACAGGGGCATCCGAGCAATTAGGCGTTATTAATGGTCTGAAAGCAGTTGAAAATCCAAAGAGAAGAGAAAACTCGCGGGATGACGGGGATGATGCAACGAATGACGATTACTTTCTTAATTTCGATGAACTCGTTAGATGGGCATTTGGACCACAAGGATTCCCATCGTTACAAATGATTGGAGTCGGTGACCTCTCGGATGAGGTAAAGCCTTGTGAGAATGCGCTACTCTGTCGTAAATCCAATCCCGAGTGTGAAGAGGTGTTTCCTGGAAGGAATTATCGCTTTGTTACCTGAGATGATCGGATTCAGCAGGAGTTATTTCGGAAGTATGCCAGTGCGATGGTAGCTTGTCCCACGAAACACATCGAGGCTTGGTCGTGGTTGTGATGTTAATACCTTACCGAAGACGTTGGCGATAAACGGGTATGCTAGTTAGTTAGTTATTAATTTTTAACCGTTTTCATTTACGGCTGTAAATCAATTCTTCTTCTCACCGTGTTCTGATGACCACATATGTTTGGCGAGCATATATTCGTCTCAACTGAACTGAGTCAATTAGACAGCTTAACTCGTTAACTAACATGAAAATGGTTAAGGTTAAATTTTGTGGCTCACAACTTTAACTAAGTTAATTTAGTTTACATAGTTTGGTCGTTAATCAAGTAACAAGTCACCGCCTAATCGGGGAGTTGCTCGTATCCGAGCCTCATTCACAGCCTCACACAGCCGCCTTCTGGATACGATGAATATCCATATTTTCTCTTTAGTCTCAATCGAGGGACTCTTCACCTGGGATATAAAATGGCGTAATGTGCCATGCTGTGCGTCTGGGGTATCTTCCCAACTCACGATGCACTGAACCCCCTTATTACTGCGGATACATCTTCCACAAATACCATACAACGGAAAGACTTTAGCGCTTGTCATTATGACTGCTTATGCTATGGACTCGAGGGAGTCGGCAGACCTTCAAACTGAAGTCAACCAACTATCTGAGAAGGAAGTAGAAATTCTCAAATCCTCCGCTGCATCTGATACAGATGTGGAAGGCGAGGCACCACCTACATATTTAGAGTCCACAACGATCACACTCCCTCGGGGTATAAATCAAGCTTTTACTCCCGGACGATCGCTCTATATTAACTCTCGCGGAATTGGCGTGATTCGTTTCCCAACCCCGTCATCGGAGTTAGAGATCGCAATCCACAACCAAGATGGATCATTAGCCTATGTGTCAACCAGGGACAAGCGCTGCTCAGGAGATGCAGTTCTATCATCCCCAAAACTCGGCAATTTACTCAGCACCACCTACTTCTTTGGGCCTGGTCGCCATCCTGTCCTCCGTCAGCTATATCCAACACCATTTAATGGGGACAGTCCTGATACAAACAAAGACATCACCGTGGCTGGGAAGTTTATCTCTCAAAGTACCGATTTTGAAATGCCAGACGGCTCAAAGTTTGAATGGAGATATGTTCGACTAGGCTATGATGGGGGTGGTAGAAGCAAGCTGCTAGTCCTTGAGAAGATTGAATGTGAAGGAGATGGATCGCGCAAGAGAGTTGCGCAACTTCTTCGAACTAAAGAAACGATTCCGCAAGGGAGTTCAAAGCATAGAGCCGGGTGCGGCGGAGAGTTGGTCCTGGAGCAGGACGCCCACCTCGACATTGACGAAGCTGTTATTGTTGGAACCTGCCTGTTAATGTTGAAAAGAGAGGTTGACCGCAGGAGAGCCATCCAAATGATGGTCATGACTGGTGTGGTTGCTAGCTAGTATTGACGTGGGGTTGTTCTTTATTTCACAGTCTTTTTAATCCATTCGTTTCCTGCTGAACATCCACTATTGAACCTGAATTCTTGGTTGTAAGATTATCTCCGTGGCTACGATTGCCGTATATACTTCCCTTCGATATTGATTAAATTAAATATCTGTTCTATTACCCAATCTTATCAGTTTCTGAGAATACTGAATGTGGTTCATCAATTTTAGCTACAGGTAGACTTTGCAATAAGAGTGTGAGATGTAATATCAGAGTCCACAGAAGAGAAATGGTGTAAGATTAGGTGGAGTGTGCACAGACGAAAATAAAGATATTTAGTCGGCAAGGGAGGCCACTCGTTTCTCGTGGGCTGCTTTAAGTTTCTTTATAGCATCAGCAAAGAGCATATTCGAAACATATACCGGCATAACCTGAACAAATACTTTCGCCATCCAGTGAGGGAAACAGCCTGAAACAAACGTCTCCCTATCTGAGCCAACCATTTTCAACGCAGACCGGGCAAGTGAGTTAGAATGAGGGACCATCATTCCATCCTTAACAATGTGAGTGGCGCTCCTTGTCTCACCAATTATTAAGGCCTGGACGTTGATATCTTTCCCATCAATTTTCATTTCCATGCTTAATGAGTTAGAAAAAGAAGCAACAAATGCTTTGGTTCCAGCATATACACTGATATAAGGGGATCCATGAGCCCCAACAGACCCCATGTTCAGGATCAGCGAAGGCAGCCGTTTGTTGCTTGCAGCCGTCTTAGAAGTAGAGTGGTCCAGTAATGGTATAAGGATGCGCGTGAGTTGTACCATAAACCGGAGATTAACGTTGATTACAGTGTCGATCTGCTCCCCAGTATATGACTCGTAGGCCTGATATAGACAAGAAGGCGGTAGGCAGCCCATCCCACCGACATTGTTAATTAGAATCGAAATGTGGACGTCTTTCAGCACCTTATGTAGATTATACAGGGTAGATGAGTCCAGCAAATCTTTTGATGCATCACAGACGAGTTTGCGGGTCTCGATGGCTGGGTATTGAGTTTGTAGGTCCTCGGTTATAGCCTGCAGTTTCTCGCTATTTCGACCGTGGAGGATGAGGTTGAAACCACTTTTTGCTAGCTCGTAAGCCATGGAACGACCAACTCCATCGGTGGCTCCGGTAACGAAGGCGTATGTTTGTTTGCCATGATGTAGGTACTTGTGCAGCTTTGAAGGGCGCAGGAACTTGTAAGCCACAGAAAGGAGATTCAGGACGATACAGACGGTTGTCAAAATCCCTATACACGCAAATAATCTTTCCCACGCCATCATTTCCAATTCTGAAGTTTTAACAGATAATCCTTGGATACTTGGATGCTTTGCGGATTGCTGAGGGGTTGAAGTCGAGAGAAGCTCTTTTGTAGGCCGATTACTAGTTAGTCTCTTAGTAGTTGTACCACTTGAGTTAACTTACTACTTGTCGGTTTTTGTATTAGTCATCTTATCTCGCTACACCTTGCTTTAGCACATTCGATAGATCTTCAATATCATCATCCTCCTTTCTGATACTACTTAATGTTAGTCAACTAGTCAACTTAACTTGCTGCCCGGTTAACTTATCAGTCATAGCAGTTATACACCGATATTCTGGCCTCATGGTATCTTATTGTCGGTAATAAATGCTCTACTTCCGAAACAATGACTATGCAGACTCTTCGCCCACCGGTTCGGGACCAAGTGGCTTTGGATATGCACCCTGTGCGAAGTACGCTTTACTATTAGCCGCATGTAGTGGAAAGTCCTAACCCCTATCATGGTTATCCACGTGACTGCAATCTGACGTCACTAGGCGCGCGTTTATTAGTTACTTAGACGCGTTTCATAACGGATCAAACTTGGAGAACGCGTTTGTCAACAAACATTCAACGTTGATAATTTGGTCAACCTTTTCGGTCAAGCGCCCCAAGGAGTTTTGATTTCGATAGTGAACCATGGCTCGATCAATACGGAAGACTCAGAATGAGCTTACAGTATCGACCGGTGGGAGTTCGGACTGGCGATCCCTGGACAACGAGTTGACTGAAATAGGGCTGGACGCAGATGAGAGCAGTGCATCGACAGGACAGAAAATCGCGGATGGCTTTGAAAAGGACTATGCAATTGATATCTCGTCCTTACTTACGCCAATACGACCCAAACCCTTTCGCAGCCTACCCAATGATATTCCAAAAAAACGAACACAAGGCTCTATATCCAAGTCACCGTCCGAAGGGCATTCAATCACTGCTCACCATATCAAGCCTCATGTTAACACTAAGGACCCAGAAGACCCCAAAGCGGCGCTTCTTCAAGACACCTTGCTGCGCGGCCTAGGTGACAAGAAACCCTATCCTCTCTATCCATCGCAACCCACTTCCGAACTTAACATAACTGCTGAATTACGGAAACTCTGGGATAAACCTACCTTGAGACAACGTCCATTTCCACAACTATCGGACAGTTCCATAACGGACAGTTCCATAAAACCCAACATAAAAAGGCCACCAAGTCTCAATGACCGAGCTCGACTCCATGATACAACGAAGACCAACAAGGTTATTCCAAAGTCCCCATCAAGACGGAGTGGTTCTAGTAGATTCGGCACAAATGCAAAACGTATCAATGGAATAAGCCATACCCCAAGAGCAGGTAGATGCTTTCATCCCAATTTTCATTCATCGCCTATACACTCTGATATGCTGTATGATGATGGGACGAGCTCCGTCATACACACTTCAACCGGCATTTTCCCACCGATAGCTTACGGCTCAAAAAGGGTGCTAGCATCTACTCCAAGCCTTCCATTACCACCTGCCCTTTCAGAAGACCACAGTAATGATGAAACACACTGCCAAAGGACTTCAACTCAGTCTTTCAATGTACCTAACGTGTTCCGAAATGGCTGGGATCACTACTATAATAGCTCAAAGACTGCATATCAGGCGCCAATTCAGCTGTTTGAGGGTGATACTACATCTTTAAAGTCTGCGGGCGATAAACCATCTAAACAAGGCCTGAGATCTATACCCAGACAAAGAGCTCCATTACGGGATCTTTCCAGTAATGGATTGAAGACAAGGGACGCTCTTAACAAAGAAGTTCAGACACGCTGTGCTAGCCTTGCCAGCTCACAGAAGGAAAATCTTCACCCATGGAAACGGTCCAGAGACATCCAGCAAAACCGCGCTATAGGAGAGAATTTTACTAGAGATATTTCTGAAACCGTTACAAATTTTGCTGATACTCTTACTGGAAACCATACGGGCCCCAAGAGCCCGACTTCCGGTAGCCTTGAAAAGCAACCAACGCGATTCCGTCGAAATAAATCGAACAGCGATCAAGACTCTTTGCCCTCAACTGATGTCTCTTCGAATTTGGATTCGAAGCATTATGATGACACTAGAACTGTGCTGGGGAACCCCGAAACGAGCCTCTTACCATCTGGCGCGCCTGGTACCGCTGCAGATACCTTCTATATGAGTGATAAACTGCGGCGCTCCTTACCAAGGACTGCTCGGTTCTCTCGATCTCACTACTCTAGTACTTCAATAACTGACTTTCAGCCAGTAGGCGCGGACATAACATTGACTGTCTCTACGGGGATTTCGTCTACTCGGTTTAGCCAAGGCGCCACCATAGATAATACTCATCATAGGGAGCCTGATAGGCCGCTTGACATGGTGTTTGACCTTCAATCACGTCTACAACGTTTAGAGATCGAAAGGGAAAGTCTGAACCAGAGTATCCGACAACTAAACCGTGAAAATCTTGCACTCTCTGGTAGAGTTCAGGTTTTGGAAGCAGCCAAATCCACCCGGGGAGTAGGAGGAGAGGAATTAAGCAACGAAGATCTCAGTATGCATACCCTCTTTCAACCTATTGGAAAGGACAAAAGGTGTCCAGACACGCAAGCACAAATGCTAACTAGCGGTGTTACAGATATACGTGACCAGGAAGTCACACACGAAAAGACATGTCGTTTCCAGGACGGAACTGACGTTCTGGAGGCTACAGACCCGTTCACAAGTACGGCAAACCCAGGGGAATCGGTCGATCCTACCAGCGGTTCTGTAGGTGAAGCACATGTGGACTACACCGTATTAACCCTAGTCGATGTATGTCTGTTTGGTATCCCCATTCCATTACAATATAATAGCTAATCCATTCGACAGGATCATGAAGTAGAAGAGCTGAGAAGAAGCTTGGAAGCATCACGGATAGGCCGGACAGCCGGCAAAATCTATCACATATCCAGCACTAAGCACGACATCTCCATGCCTCCCCTATCTCAAGTTCTTGCGAATATCAGTGTTGGAGTAGAAAAGGAAGAGTATCAGTCTTCTGCTAGCGAGGAAGACCTGTCCACATTACCTCCGATTAGAAAATGGGTACGGCGTGGATTACAGAAAGATGTCTAATGTCTACGGTAGTTCACCATTTGAAGGCCCGGGCGAAACCATTTCTAGGGTCTCTCACTTTTCAAAGCAGAGTGGTCTGTCCAGTGGGATAGTATTCGTGAGTCCAGTATATAGCTTGCTTGCATTTGCAATCTCCCCTGCACGATATGCAACACCTAAGGCGACGCCGTACTCCTTAAATTTTGAATAAGTACATAATTGCCTGGGCCGAAGAACATTCGCCTATAGAGGCGTTCGTTGGACACATTCATTGTAACTGGGGCAAAAACCATTTTGACTGGGGCTGCAGGAGTGTAGGGCTTTACTGATGGAGCCCGCTTGTGAACCTGCCTGTGACCCTGTTTAGTAATCAGCAGTACCTTGAAGGTTACTGTACTCCTGGTCAGTAGGCAATTTTTGAGCTTCGTATAGGCTCATGCCATTGCCCCAATATAGTTCTATTTCAGCCAGGCGATTTAAAATAGCTCCCAAGGTTGTGTGTGTGGCATGCCATTAGACAGGATTCATCTTGCTGCTTCCCGTTTGGTCACGTTATAGCTAGACAAATAAGGAAGATATGACAAGCTAGAACACATCATCACTATTCTTTGAGATGGTTTCCAATCCCTGTGCCCGTCGTTTGGCAGGCAATGAGGACGGCGTAGAAAGCTTTGCCGGTATTTTCTGTGCTGGTGGTGTACCTCTCGACGCCGGTGCTGCGACTGATTTGTCTCTTCCAGGTATCTCCTCACTGACAAAACAAGCAAGGCCTGCAAAGGCCTCCAGGAGCGTCCTTTCATAATACTCCCGTAAATCATATCCACCAGCCAGAACCCTCGTATCTTCACGTAGCGGGTCAAGATATGTTGACGGGTAGTGATCACGGAGTTCATAATAGTCACGGCTGTTTAGTGCTGCAGCACCGGCAAACGGATCATACGGCTTCTCTGGTTCAGGAGTCTTGATCTTCCTTAGGCCCTTGATCAACCCTCCACCGGCGGCTGCAGCATTGCCTGCCCCGGCAGCCAATGGGCCTTTGTTCGCGCTCTCTGCAGCTCGTAAGGCAGCTTGCTTTCGTTTCAATCTCTCTTCCTCGCTGCGTCTGGCGGAAGATTTCTTCAGCTGATGGGCTCGTTCAGACTCACGGGCAACTGCTTTGGCCTCCTCGGCATCTCCAGATGCGAGGCGGGAGATTACATCTTCGCGACTGGCAATTTTGGCCTTCCTCTCGTTCTCGTAGTCCAACCTGGCGGCTTCACGTCGCCGACGAAGCTCCTCCTGCTCCGCGGACTGATGAAACTCAAAAGACTCATTCTCCTGTCTGGCAAGGTCCTTGTTATGACGAATAGAGGCAGAGTTTTCTGCGGAGTACTGAGCGAGTTGGGCTTCCGTTTTGGCAACGTCGATGTCATTTACGAGATTGGCTATGATCTCCTCTCGTTGTTCAAGAAAGTCATCCCACGCACGTTTGTTATCGAATTCTTCTTCTCGTCGGTTCAAGCTGCGAAAATGTCAGCGGTTACCAAGGTTGATGGGAGACTTCCTGGAGGGACGTGGAGTGACACACATGCCCATTACCCGTTTTCTAATATCGACTTCCCTCTCAACCGCAAGGTCCCCAAAGGTTTGCTTCCGGAATTTATTTTTCCGCAGGGTTTTTCGGCAGCCGGCAACTGGGCAAGGCGCAGGGCCGGAAGAAAATATGCGATCGACGCATGACTCGCACATTTTATGGTAGCATTCTGGGTTGATGAGAAATCGCATGTCCGGATTGAGGTATCTGGACGACTTGCAGACGGGGCATACTTCTATCGGATATCCGTGCAGGCATTAGCTACCTGAGATGCGGTGATTAGAGCTGCACAAGGTATACGTACCGTCATCGTCTCCCCGCTGAAGGGAGCCGTTTGCTCGGGCTGGCATGGTAATTGACGTGGCGCGCAAGCAAGAACGCTGGGCCCTTCAGGAGACAGAGAGGCAGGTAGCAGGGCCTGGTAGCATCGAGAAGTTCGCTGATTGCAGCGCCCGAGCAGCACAGAGGAGAGTGCTGGCGTCGCTTGCTTCAGGTTTCGTTTCCAGGGAGCTCGTAACTAACGAACGACCTTCCAAGCCTCGTATCACGTGATAATGACATGGGAACCCTTGGGACTTTTTACCTGGCCCGAGCTTCCCCCCCAGCGATGCTTGTTCAACGATCAGATCGCTGACTTCATCCTCGCAGGTGCTGACATCACGGCAGGGCAGGGCATGGGCATGGGCGTCTTTGCAGCCACCAACGCTCGACGGCGCTCAATCGGTGCCGTCAAGAGCTTCGACTGCGATGCTGCGGCGGCCCGGTGGCATCTCCCGCCCAGCTGCCTTGTCCTGCTGCGGGCAGCGTATCGCGTCTGCCAAACCTCAAACATCCCAGGCGAGTTACTCCGTGCTGGTCTCGGGTCCAGCCATCATCCACCCGCCAAGCTCAGGCAATGGAGTCGGGTTTTCCCACAAGGTTGCGCTTGGCTCGTGAGCAAATGGCGAACGAGACATTTCGAACGGAGAGAGAGAGAGAGAGCTCTGAGCGCGATCAAAGGGCGCCCATTATTTTGTTACTTTGCGCCTTCGTGGATCTTGCCTCGGGACGAAAACGTCGTTCCCATCAAAGGCAGCGTCCTCGACGACAATATGCAGCCCTCCGCACACACACTCTACGGGGCGGAGGGAAAGAAGGAATAGTCCGTATACGTGCTATTCGTGCATGTAGATAGCTGCTCTGTGGAGACTACTCTCTTTTCTACTATGAATTTTTTTTTTTTTTCCACCCCAGGAGTTGGCTGTAACCTTGGGGGTGAACGCTCTCCTGTTGCTCCAATCCTTTCAAGTATGCAGCGCAGGACGCTACATATAAGAAATCTCACTCTTTCTTCCCCTTCATTCCCACAGACAGCATTTAATTATACCTTTTCTAAGCTTGTGGATTTTGTCCTTGGAAAAGATGGCTCGCTTCGCTCTGCTTTGCCTATATCTCACGCAATGCTCTGTCGTCGTCTTGGGACAAAGACACTCTGGCCCTGTGACTGTCCATCCAAGCATTACTGCTGCTGCTGCCGCCGCCGCCGCACAGACAACTGAAATAACCAAATGTCATAATCACGGCCCTCAAACGTGGGTGATCATAAACTAGGGTTCATCCCGGGATTTTGGCTGACATGTACTCCAGATTCTGTCTTGATGGATATGGTGCAGAGGTGCTTGTATCTGGTACAGCTACAGCTACAGGCCCTCCTCCTTCCCGATTCACTGATTGCCATAACCATGGCTCACAAAAGTATTTAGACACCCAAAACACTTTTTTTTTTTTTTTTTTTTCATTTTTATACACTGTTACCCCTATTCTCCCTATTATAGGATCAATTCTGACTGCTGGACTGCCTAGATATTGTGTGGGACCCGACGGGGACGAGGTTCAGGTACTCCCTGAAGGGTCTTCAGGTGATGACCATGGCCATGAAGAACATAACAATGGAAAGAGTGGACATGAAGGCCTCAACTGTCATTTCCACGCAGGAGTAGAGTAAGTCTTGGGATACCTATAAGAAAAAAAAAAAAAAAAAAGTCACCTGCTTACAACCGTCAGGCACTGTATCCCAGAAAATGGATCTGAGGAACCTACTATGTCTTGTGATCGTGTTGATCGAGATTACAATATCCCTTACCGTATCGGCTCCCTATTTGCTATTTTAGTGACAAGCGCAATCGCTGTGTTCGGTCCGGTTTTGATGCAGCGATTTTTCGCATCGACCATGAATATCTTTGTGTTCACAATAATCAAACAGCTTGGCACAGGTATCATGATTGCAACTGCTTTTATCCATGTCGGTATACCCTTTCAACAAAGCTAGGAACTACATCTAACTGCATCTAGCTCCTGACGCACGCGGAGCTCATGTTTGGCAACAAATGCCTTGGCACTCTTCAATATGAAGCCACCGCGACATCCATCTTCATGGCTGGCCTATTCATAACCTTCTTGATCGAATATTTCGGAAATAGGATAGCCTTTTCACGCGGTAAGAAGCATCCTCAGGGAGACGACATGGAACCTTCCGCGACTTCTAGCCACACTGGCCCAGTATCAGGAGCAAAAACTGGGTTAGATTCAGCAATTGCAAACCTGGGTCACAGTCATAGCCATAGCAGTTTCCCGGACGATAAGATTAGCGTTTTTCTCATGGAAGCAGGCATCGTTTTCCACTCAGTCAGTGAGTCAAACCACATCCCCCTAATATAATAAAATAATTCCTATAAAGAAATAAAATGGCAACGAACTGACAGCCTTTAGTCCTTGGTGTCACACTAGTAGTCTCAGGTGATTCAGGATACACTCCTCTATTCATTGTGATTATCTTTCATCAGATGTTCGAGGGTTTGGCTCTGGGCTCCCGAATCGCTGATCTAGCTAACACGAACATATCTACCAAACTTGTCATGTCCTCTATCTTTGCCGTGATCACACCTCTGGGTATGGCCATTGGTCTAGGCGTCCTTCACTCATTCAATGGCAATGATAAAAGTACTATCGTTGCCATAGGGACCCTCGACGCATTCTCTGCTGGTATCCTTGCGTGGGCTGCTATCGTTGATATGTGGACTCACGACTGGCTTCATGGAGATCTCAAAGATGCTAGTATTGGCCGAATGATGACCGGTCTACTGGCTCTCATCAGTGGTATGGTTTTGATGGGAGTCTTGGGTAAATGGGCATGATCAACATAACTTTTGAATCATCGTTTTTCTCTCCGTGCAGCAAACTTTCGTTTTAAAGTTCTGGCTATATAGCTTAAAGTGCTGTCACATGCTTATTGTATCATTTTATTAGATAATGTTGGATTAGTCATAAAGAAATTGCCGACGTAATGATTAAATGTTAACAATTTAAAGATTAAGCGTTTCATACACGTGATTTAATTTTATGCACGTTCGATTTCAACTTGAACCTCAATTTATTTGTTTTCGCTTTGGACTTCACTACCTGTCAACTTTATGCTCTTATATTCGTTGTTTTTAACCATTATATTTCAGTATGGCTGACTCAAATGAGCCCCTACTGAGCCTCGAAGAAAAGCGACTGGAGCTAGAAAAGCAAATAACAAATCTTCAAACCTCAATCTATCATTGGAAAATTTGGAATGCGGAGTATGACGGTTTGAAGGAAGAAATCTTGTCATTGCCAGAAAACAGTTCTCGCGAACATATTCTTGAGTTAGGACGAAATCTTGAAGGGTCTCAAGTCACTGAGAAAGAGGTGCGAGCTCTGCTAGGAGAAGGCTCCTCTGGACCCATCGTATCAAGATCACCCCAACAAGTCGCCCGTGCGATTGACCGGAGGATTGACTATGTTCTGGAGAATATAAAGACTCTAGAGAGGCGTGCCACCTCCTTGGAGGATAAATTGAATGCTCTTGTGATGGAACAACCTGATGATGGACTAAATGAGGAAGGCATGCCCATTACGGATATTGTGGAAAGGTTGGACGAAGATGGAAATGTCATTTCAAGCTCAACTACAATGCCAGGAAAGGAGACAAACGAACTACTTAATGCTCTGAAGAAAGCCGGGTTGGAAGTACGTGATGGAAAGCTGAACAAAGAGAAAACAACAACCGAGGTGAACGACTCCTCCGTTTCACTAGCTTCTTCCACAAATAAAGCTGAAGAATCACCTGTACCTGATACCAGTGGGAACAAATTTATTCGGGCTCCTGAATCTGATGTTAAAACACAATCTCCAGTGGAAGTTAAATCTCAGGTTCCTGATACTTCTGCCCGAGGAAAGGATGGTACCACTTCTTCATTACCTGTAGCTGCTCCAGACTCTACGTCGGGGATGGGACCTTTGGAACCAGACGGAATATCCACAGATGCTGGAGAGAAAGAATGGTCAGCGATGGCTGAGGTTGATGGAGATACGCCGGAGGATGCTGCGTTACGCAGGGAGATGCTTCAATATGGACTAGAGGAAGTAGGCGCAATTGTTGCGGAGCTAGAACTTGATGAAGATGGAAGCGAGTTTTCCATTGATGATGAAGATTACGATCTTGACGCAGAAGATAGCGAGGATGAAGATGAATATGGGCGAACTACGAGAAAGGTTTTGGATGATGATTATATCAAGCGAATGCGCGAGCTTGAGAAAAAATTGAATGCTAAGAGCTTACAAAATATTGGCCCTGATTCCAGCATCCTACCGTCAGATGTTCGAACTCAGGTTGACCAAGCCCCGTCTGCAATGAAGAAAGGTCCTGCGAAGAAGAAAACAGTTGCATTCGCAAAAGAACTCGATATCGCTCCTGAGCCATCTCCCAAACCGGCATCCGCACCTACAAATGCCAAAGCAGAAGTTCTCCCTCCACCTATTCAGGAAGAAGTGGTCGAAAGGTCAGGGGTTGCTAATATAATAAAGGAAAGGAATACTGGATCAGCAAAGAAAGTTTCTCGCTTCAAGAGTTCTCGGAATGCCGAAAATTCTACCCATGTAGGCACAGCTACAGTCATCCAATCCACCTTAAAGCCTCCTAATAGCAGCTCTTCCCTAAATTCAAGAGCTCCAGTCGTTACTCCTCCATTGTTTCCGGCTATCCCTTCAACCCCACAGCCTTTCTCACACCCTATACTTGATCCAGATACCATTTCCTTGAAAGAGCACAACAAGGGTGGCATGAATGGGAAGAAAGCGAGTATTAAGCCACTAGCTGATGTCCTCGTTGAGCGAACCGTGCATAGAGATTCCGCTGTTCCCCCCGATCCGGATGAGTTGGACGAAGCTATCCACAGGAGAGAGGTGGCAGCAGAGTTTTATAAACTACGAAATCACAAAATCCAGCAGAGCGGAGGATTCCTTCAGGAGAATGCGACTGAGTCTCTTGTTTCCTTGAATGCTGATGATCACTCGCAAGGTGAACAAGAAAAGCCAAAGAGAGTAAGCCGTTTTAAGGCTGCAAGGGCTAAATAAGTCGTTTTGAAACAAATACAGATAAAAATAAATTACCATATATACCACATACCCTTCCTATTTATTAGTGGCATATCGTTCCTATCGCCGTTCATGCGGCTATAACGTAAAAATGCGCAAGGAATTTTCAATTGTTGCAAGACATCGGTTCATATGGATCTCGATGCTCTTGCGGTGACTACAGGCAGATGGAGATGAATTCTCCTTATCAACTACCATCTGACTGCCATGCATAAATTCCAAGATAAATTTTGTGAGATCTCTGGCTTCTCTCTCGTCCCTATTGGATGGCTTCGCTTCTTATGGGGCCTTAAGGGACTTAAATGAGATTGTCGTTGCGTTACTCTCTCTACATCTAAGTATCATGTAAGTCAGGTAGGAGTTATGAAGACCAGTCGTTTCGGGTACATATATATCCTTGGGAGGTATAAGTAGGTATATTATTGGTTATGTCAATATCGTTAAACAATCATAATAGTCAGAAGGCATTATCATTGCCTTTGATTGGGGTATGGGTTGAATCTTCATACTTCCTCAATCCGAAAGGCCAGTCGTACAACCGTAATCATTCGGTTCGTAATTCGCATAGCTACCTCAGGGAGTGTAGATTGTAGAACCCTTGTGCACAGAGAGAACCTGTCTTAAGTGCAAGGGCAAGAACTAAAGCATGAATCAAAAAAGCAGCTACATGAAGCCATCTTTTTGGTACACTCAAGTCTAGAACTGCGAGAAAAAGCAGTGGATATACTATCCACGTCTTGACCGTGAGCGGAGCGCACAGCTGGGTAAGTGAGACTATTTTGATAGTGAGGAGGGTAAAATTCATTAGAATTGGTATGACAGGCCGGCTTCGTAAAATGTGGCCAAGGATAGGAAATCTGTTTGGAGGAGGGAGGAGAAGACGATTGCTAATGTTGTATAATCTCCGGTTACGGCCTTCAGGGTATTCACGCACAATGCGAGGAGATGTGGCAGTAGATCGGACAAGAAGATTGGTAGACTCTCTATCGGCATGGTCGCCACTCTGGTCTCCAACAGAACCTTCTGATTCATTGGATATGGGTTGGTTTGAGTTTCCGGCCACAAGTGCATCAGATCGGCCTATTGCGGAAGGAAGGTCTAATGCTGGGGGTGCTCTCTTCACGGGACTATGAGACCGCCGTGACGGTGATCCTGTAGCCGGGCTATCTACAGGAAGTACTCGGGCGGTAGGTTGTAAGTCAGTAGGGGAAGGAGATGTCCTATGAAAACGGCCACTGGAACCACCGGTTTGGATACCGCTCAAGACATCTTCCGCCGTCGGTCTCATATCAGGGTTCACATCCAGGAGACGAGTTAAGAAAGAGTAGAGCATGTCAGGAAGGTCAGGCCTCATCCGCCTTGCGGCATCGAACCCTGCCCATCGACTAATTTCAGCACGAAGAAGATCAAGATCTTCTTTGTCCTCATCAACCACATCTGCATTACGATAGGGAAGCTGGCCAAAGCAAAGGAAATACAGAATCATCCCAAGAGAGAAGACGTCTGACTTGAAGCTGAAGTTGCCAAACGGACCGCCGGGTGATACTCTTCGAAGCACTTCGGGCGCGCAGAAGGAGATGGTGCCTGTAGTACCGGTGGAGTTGCGGACGGTGTTTTCGAACTGGACTTCACCGAAATCACTGACCAATACTCGTAGCTCACGGCCGGTTTCATGCAGGAGGCAGTTACTTGGCTTTAGGTCACGATGAATATAGCCATTGACGTGTAAGTAACGGAGACCCGAGGTGATATCTTTGAAGAACGAATATATTTCCTCCAACTGGAGGCGTCTTGGCCCACTGGCAGCGCTAGGTAGCTCTGGCTGGCCTCGAGATCTGCGCCGTAGTCGAGCCTTGAGCTGCTGTGGTGTATCTGTTGCCGTCTGAATTGAGCCGCAGATATATTTTTGCAGGTCTCCTGCGTTGCAATACTGCTGTAGAATGAATGCACACGGTACACTTGGCCCAAAATTACTGAGCCTGGCGTTTTCTAGCCACACATGTCTGTATGAAACTAGATTCTGATGCGAGAGATGCTGTAGCAGTTGGACTTCAATCAACACTTTCTTCAGCCATTCGTGGTCATCACCAACGGGGACGCGCTTGCAGGCATAGTGGCCCAGAGACACGCCATCCAGTATATGCTTTACCAGCAGCACAACGCCCTTCCCACCTCTTCCGAGTTCACGCTCTTCGACGAAGAATCTCTTGAAATAATCATGGCTGAAAGCAGTCGAGGAGATCCCGTGGGTGGTAGAAGGCGATTCACCATACCCACCACTGCCATGCTCGCTGGCCGAAGCTGGCGTCCCTTCTTCGCGGCCAGGTGGTACTAACTGACGTCGTGGAGAGGAAGGAGAAGAAGGTGTCTGGTCTGCAGCCGAAGGGGGGATAGTATTCTCAAGGAGTCGAAAGTATTCCGGGTTCACGAACCTCGACGGCGCTGCAGTGGCGGGCGTGGGCCCTCGATGCGGCTTCTGCGAGTGCTCAGGGCTACCATCACGCAGCGGACGATGACAATAAGGGCAGTCGGTTCGCTCTCCGATGTTCTCGACGCCTTGGTTCGCGGGCTTGAGGACGAGCTGCTGTGAATTTGGGTCAAACACGACAATCGCATCGTCATGGCGGCTGTTCCAAGGCAGTCCAGCTGTCAGCTTCTCATCCGCAACTAACTAACTAGTCAAACAGCGATGCGACCAAGCGTCGCTCTCTCTACTTACAGTACGACATCCCCTCCGCCGCTATAAGGAACAATCGACATGCTCCGTGGGTCGTGGTCGGCCATCCTTATGCAGGCTCTGGCAATTACGTCAAGGCATCTTCGATGGATCGGTCGTTCGAGATAGCAGTTGGATGGTCTTGCTCCGGGCCTCTCTCAGCCGGAGAGAGAGCTCGTCAACGTAAGAAGGCTACGGAAGATGGGCAAAAGCAGCTTCTCTTGCGCAGTTATAACTGAGCTCGACTGAGAAAAAGGGCCATGGGAGCAGCCTGTTTGTTATCAAGAGAAAATCGGTTCAGGCTAGTTTTCCCGGTTGCCCGGTGGTTTGTTTGTTTTCATGCTTGCCCAGCAGTTAGTCTGCTGGTTTTGGTCATTATATAGCCAACGAGCAGTGGCAGGCAGCTTTGGATAACTATAGAGAACAGACAGCAAACAGGCAGAGCTTATATTGAGCCAGTCTTGACTAGCTATCTGTGATATGCAGGAATTCACAGTCTCACAGAGCTTGCTGTGTTGTGTCCCAGCTAAAGAAGTCTTCCATCTTGAGAAAAACCCTGACCGTTGCAGGAAAGCAGGAGTCTGCCACTTGAACGGAGTACACGGCTAGTTATTCATCCCTTTTGGAGGCAAACAGATGACTGGGAAGTGAATAGACAAGTGAGAGAGCCTTCGAAGTTTTATACATCAATACAGAGACATCTCTGAAAAAAACTCAGTGGGTTCAGGGGTACAGTACATTTACACACAGTATATCGTTTTATCATAATTAAGTCAGGTAGAGGCACAGGATATACTCCGTAATAATGGAATCATCGACTTTCGGTAGGCTCGTATCTTCAACAAGCGGGACCCGGGGGATAAACTACGTCCAGAAGACCAATACCAGGCAAGAGTTAGATAAGTGAGGAACGGGAAGGCGAAGTTCATTTAGACGAGGGCTCCCTGTCTCAGATGAACATTCGAGTTACGTGGTCATCGGCGTAGTATGGTCGTTGGACATGGGTAGTCTTGGGAGACTGCCCGAGAGCAAGCATCCCAAAGACAGGCCTGGAGGGTATGGCGACCGTTCTTGATGCACTTCTAGTACAAATAGTATCAGTAAGTCAGATACTAAGGTTAGTCGCGGCGCAGGACAGCTGTTGATAGGTCCCATCAGTAAAGATACATTACACGGGGAAGCTTGAAATACGGCCCTACCCATTAGTTAGTAGTTCATATAACTAACTGTTTAATGCGGCTGATAGTTACCTACCTTATATCAACAGAACGGAGTAGCTAAAGAAGAGCCGAATGCACCTGAGAACAGGCTCGGATGTATTCCCTACAAGCAACGTAGTAACCAGAGCAATGGCTATCTCCTCACTTATGATTTGGGCCAATATCTGTGAGGTGAATATTTAGGCCGTTCATAGGCTTGATCGTGATCTAAGTGCATATAAAGTGTTAGCAAGACACAGCATATCCGAGCAAAGAGGTCAAGGAGATCAAGAAGGTGATAGAATTAGACTTACAGCCCCGGCGACCACAACCTCCTGGTCTGGATGCAGCATCTCAATTTTGAATCTTCCCACCATAGCTGCAATCAGGCACTTCATCTCTGCCCTAGCAAAGCTTTGTCCAATACAAGTTCGTGGTCCAAACAAGAAAGTAGTACTACTTGCAAGGCGGCTGTTAGTCCCTCCATGAGTCTCTCTACCCTCGCCGAGCCACCGTTCAGGTCTGAATTCATCTGCATCTGCTCCCCAGATAGACTGTGACCGATTAGCTGTTAAGATAGACATGTTGACCCGTGTGCCTCTGGGAATTGTGACACCCCGAATGACACTGTCCCTCTTTAGAAAGACTTTTTAGTCACAAGGGTATGTTATCAACGTGAGATGGGCTGGTACTGTAACACTTACTATGGCAACTCGCGGCTGTAAGGGCTGGATAGGAGGGGGGGAAACATTAGTATAAGAAGCAAAGAAGTAGTTACACGGCCATCTTCACTAAGTTCGTTGAAGACTTACCGCCACCGGCCAAAGTCTGAGAGTCTCGGACACGACCGCAGAAAGGAGTGGCATTGACTCAAACATTTGATCCGTGAGCTCATGTGGGTGGCACTGTGATAATACTCCCTGAACCTCGACTCGAAGTTTCTCTTGAATTTCAGGGTGTGTAGCGAGAAGGTACATGGCAAAAGTGGTTGATGTACTCGTAGTTTCATGACTAGATGCCGTTGTTAGCAAAGCCATCCTTCTAGATGAGATTGAATGAAAATCGTACCCTGCAAACAAGAATGTCAACATCTGGTCCCGTATATCGTCATCAGAAAATTCCCCATTTTTCAGAAGCACCGATAAGACGGTTGTGCTGTAGTTTCCCCCTTTCTTAGCCACCTCCTTTTTCTCGGTAACTAGCTGGTGACTGAGACTCAGCAGTTTAGACTTGCATGCTGTCAATGTTTTGTTTCCCTCCATAGGAAGCATGGAGGAAATACAGCTCGGTAGTAACATGCATGCAACAAAGTATTTGATAAAATCCCAGGTTGGATCTAACATTCGACGAAACGTGGCTGCGAGCTCATTCTGTGAACTATATAGAGACTTGAAATCCTCGCCAAAAGCAGCAACTCCAATGATATCTAGATAACAATGAGTCAGAGGTCAGGGGATCTGGACATCTGTATATATTCTCCTATGGATTTTGTATCCCTTACCAAGTGTCACCAGGGAGACTAATCTGTGGAACTCAGTGGCACCATCAGTGGCCTTTGACTCAGTCGCCATAAAGTCTGTGAACTCAAGAGCTTTAAGCCATATCTTCGGGACAAGTTCTTTGATAACATGGCCGAGAAAGGCTGGCCGAACAGACTTTCGTTGTGCCTTGTGCTCTGCAAGTTCGGCAGTGCCAATGCCCCGTCCTATCATTCGTTTAACAAATGCAGTGCGTTTAGGTGGTTTGATATCTTCTGCCTATTAGTTGAAATGCATGTAGATAGGATAATAATACATGAAATGACACTCACAGTCATAACAGTGAGCGCTCAAGACTTCGTTGAATAAATCGGGGTCAGTTAGGATGACTGTATCGCTTAGATGCAGTATGCCCTTTGTTCTTATCATTCCATAATCTCTGGCATTGCGCTTATTGACAAAGTCGAGGATCCAGTTCCCCGGGATTGCACGATACATATATGGTGTATGACCGAAGATGAGCCAATCTCCTGGTGCCATTGGAATGCTTCTCAGGGGACCGAAGTAATGATTATAGACAATCTTTTTTATCGCGGCAGTCCATACCAGTAAGATAGCTGCATGGTAAAGGTATAGATTAGATGAACCTTTCGTGGCGTCTGGTCCAAGGTAAAGCGACCCTAGTGGGGGAAGCGCCATTACGGCAAACATGAAGGCGTGTGTCCGTAGCGAAGTATCCATCGTGTCGGTTTAAGATCTGTACCAGTATCAAGCATATCCCAGCACAATATTTCTGGTGTGTCTGTGAAAAGAACGAGAAGGAGAAGGCCTCATGGGGTATAAATATATGCTGTTCTGCGCTTGAGTGCAACGGCATAGTAGCGGTAGCTGTCAAGAGTCTTACAAACGAGACTATCCATCCTGACAAGCAATGCACCAGCTTGTCCAATAACCGACTGTAGGACATTCGACTGCAGTGTATTGATTCAACTGCTGTTACACAAGTATCCATTCAGGCAGCCGAGCCTTGGTTGAGCATAAGATCTCATGCATGAGTCGACCACCGTCTTTCTGTCCATGCTGGGGGGAGTTAAAATGTAAGCAAAGCCTTGCAATGCTTGAAACCACCTTACGGCCCTGTAGATGGGGAATACCGTGTTCATTAGCATATAGAATAGAGACATAGCCTCCACCAGCTGTTGATAGGGAAATTGGGTAAGCCGACCGAGTGTGCAAAACGGAGTCTGGTTATATCAGCCATACTAGTTAGTTAGTTGGTCATCCACGCTCAAAGAAAGAGACGTATAAAGCTGGGGATCAGCAAGCAATGACGGTGAGGATCCAGCGCCCCTGACAGATGACAGGTCGATGTCTGAAGCAGCCATGGTCTGGCCTGCCAAAACATAAGCAGCATGGGCTCAAAATCCTCATCCGGGCCGCTTCTCCCACAACGGTGTCCATAGAAGGCTCATTCATAGGGGATCAGGACTGCTTGTCATGGCATCAACAGGCCGCAGCGAGTCGCCAGTACAGAGTAGCACATTTCGTCATTCGGCCTGGACACTGCATGATTCGCGAGAAGAAGGCCAACCAAGAGAAGCGGAGTTAGTTAGTTCAACCTGGCGGCTTGAGAAATTTGGCAAATTCATGAAGATAGCGCCCAAGCTCGAAGAATATGTCAGTAATGCTGGCTTTACTTCGATCACGGAAAAGAGCTATCCGTTTGCATCCAGCATGCCTTTAGCGTGTCAAGTATAATGAATAATAGGCTGATAACTACATGGTTGAGTTGAGCTCCCATGACTTGGTCGTTAGAGCCGCCTGCAACTCCTGCGATTCCCCGGCCCCTTTTCTACCACAACACCGTGTGGCTTGTTAAGCCGAAAATCTTTGGAATCTCTGTGGACACTGCATGGGACACACTAAGCACGTACACCTGCTCCCCTTGAAACGGACTGTCGATCACGTTGATGGCTGGTGACAGACAGACCGGCCTTAACTACCCCTAACACACGGTACAAATATCACAGCTCCAGTTTCCATGATGAAGCAAGGATCTCCAGAGAGAACTCTCCTCTCCTCCCATTGTTTCCTCCAAATCATCGTCAATGTCTTTGAATTCTTCACCGTCAAAGATATAACTGTTACTTGAGGCTTATTTTCTGATACCTCGCTGCAAGGTCGAAGGCTTGACTGACGGCGGCAACTTGCTGCAGCTTGCCAGCATCTGTCAAAAGGTCCCTTCAATGATGGGACATTCTCGCAGCAAGTCCGAGGAACGGAGCTCCCAAGTCAGGGCTATCCTTGTCGATGTTCTGTGTATGCACCCTGTAACTGTCCCTCAGGTGTCTATCAACTTTTCAACGATCTCGCAGCAATCCCGGGCTATATCTTAGTTATATCACACTTATATCACACTTTCAACTAAGGCCCAGGATATGACGGCAGTGCTGCGGTTAATTCATATGGAATCCAATGGCTATTCTGTACCTGCTCCATGGCTATCTACGGCACATGCTATTCCTTCAGCTGGCATATGTGTTGCGCAAAGCTATCTTGACTCTCTGCTACCAAAGTGTCGAATACGACACAGTTTCTGAGTTCCCACCTTGGAGGCCTCTGGAGAATCAAGGAACAAGCAAGGCGCAGCGTTGAATGATTGCGCCGTGAGATCTTGCAAAGAATAGACACTGCAGGTCAATGCCTATATGCCATCAGAACAACCGCTAGTTGTTTAACTGAATTCTTAATGTTGACGGGCCTGAATCACCTGGCTTGAGTAGCAAGAATGCTGATAGATTCATTAACTTATTATTGCTATGCAGATTTTGTTCCAATGAAAAGACAAGATGCAAAACGCTCGCTAATTCGCACAGACAAGGGAGAAAAGAAGTTCAGCCGATCCCTTCAATGAAAGAGAGAAGCTAGCGGCACCGAGGTGCAGTACATTGCTATCACACTATATGCTCCTTAGCCCATGGAGCAGGACCTAACGGAAGCCGTACAGGGGTCATTTCAGGCGACATCAACCCTGCAGCTGCACAGTAAAACGCTATCATTCCACAGACAACACCGCATCCACCTCCGACTTTATTTATCTGGATGCTCTGCTCGGGGAGTGACGTTGCGATAAAATTGGCTATGGCGGCGAACAGATACGACAGCGCAAGGAATACGAACACAAGCAGACACAAGATGTTGGAATGCAGTGACGCAACCATGAAAACAATCGTCAGAAGTACCCAAATGATGAGGAATATACCGAGTGCGAATGTGTATGACCGTTCATCCCCGTATGCCTCACGTATGTGCAATCCAGGAATCTTGAGCATTGCATAGGCCATCCAGTATGCGCCGTACGAAGAGTGGATGGTGGTTCCCAGAGTATTGCCGGACCGGAACTCCATGAAGCCGACGATGATCTGGATCATACCTCCCATGAACAACGCAAGGCCAAAGGCAGCTTGATCTGGACCGGAGCTTCCTCGTGGATTGGAGTTGGGCAGTCTATGATGCCAATGGCCACATTAGTTCCCTCTGAAGGGTTGAGAGGAAGTACGCCACAACCACAACCCTCCCCACTCGGGCACACACTTACCCTGCACCGCAATTGTACAGCCCAACCACAATACTTGTGATCGAGAACCCGAAGAGGCCCAAAGGGGCTGGGTTGGCGAGCTTGCTGAAAGATGGCAGAGCTACATGAGAACCAGTTGAGGGTTTGTGTTCTCGCTGCTCATCGAGTGAAGACCACTCGGTCTGCGGCACCTTTGCACTTGGCTGAGGGAGGGCGTTGGACATATTGGTTGGGCTTGCCTAGCTCGGCGGTACGGGACTGGTATACGGCGAGGAAGAGGAAGAAAACCACAGGCTTTGCAGGCAATTGGCAGAAGAAAGGTACGGGGAAAGGGAGAGCACAGGCAGGAAGAGCAGATTGGAATAGACATAAACCTCCACTTCAATGTCGAGGGGTTAGTTTTTATATGTTTTTTTTATTTTCGTGGGATGTCCAGGGTCAGTCCTATTTATCCCTATAAGTCTCTCGTTCCTCCGACTCGGCTTGCTTGGCCGGCGGGCGAGGCCTTCGCAGCTCCTGCAGCTTGTGCTACATTAAGCTTTCAACGAATATAAAAAGCATTATCTAGCGCGGAAGGCGTTCAATTCACGATATGGACGGCACAGTGACAAAACATCGTGAAAATCATACCCACCAAGCAACCCCTTTGTGATAAGCAAGCACATCATGGTTTGTCTGGGAGTAGAGGTGGGGACTGTTCAAAGGCTTGATCGGCTAAGCTTTCGCTGTTCCTTGGGATTCCGCAGCTGGACCCAACGAACCGCTGCCGGCCGGCTTGGGGAAACGGCATTGTTTGGCTCAGATTAATCTGGTACATGCAAGTGAAGAAACTGGCTAATTGTACGTATAGAGACGTTTCGTGTTGTGGAGAATGCATTTTTGTACGTAACTAGTCGTTAGGTTTTTCATCTATAGTATGTTTGAGCCCCTAGTTCGCCGCAAGGGCAGTACCATCTGGGCGGAATTCCTGTCTCAGGTGGAAGATAGGCTGTATAGAGTGTTTCCGGCTACGGGCTTTGGACTTCAGCGTGTCTTGCCAGCAATAGGGAAGTTTAGGATGAAATCCTTCAGAGGTTATTTATGATTCATTCACTCCAAGCCTCGGTCACGACATTGTTGTTGACCAAGGTTGGGATCCTAAACCCGTAGGGGGAGGGAAAAGAGGAGCTGGTATACGATAGTAAGTATTACCGTGGATAATCCCGAATTTTCACACTCTTCAGTTTGCTGGCATGGGAGCCGGTCCGGCACGATAACGGATAGACATGGCTAAAGCTGCTGACAAGCAATTTATATACCACATTAATGGAAATGCGAAACCCCACGAAGGATTAACGCGGGGACGCTTTAAATAAGGGAAGAGTCGATATTTCCCTTTGTGCGTATATCATCGGCTGGAATCTGTGTCTATTGGAGCGCCCCATCTTCATTGTCTGGATCTTCAAACCCTTCAAATTCGCTTTCATCTTCGTTGCCGTCTGACCCGTTTTCGAGAGCCCCAGATTTGACGCTCTCCGCATCATCGTCGCTTGCATTGGAGCCGGACTGTACTTCATCTCCGTCGTCACCTTGAGCTTCATCCGCTTTCCTCTTAAGGCCCATCTCACCTAATCGACCTTCACGTCCGTTTATTTTTTCATCTCCAGCGTCATCAGCCTTAGGTGGAGGTGTATACCAAGGCAACTTCCCGCGAAGGAAGTCATTTATCACCATCTTTGCAACACTGTTCACGTCAGGCTCACCACCCTTGAGCAGTCGACCACCCTTCCTAGCCAGTATGCTCAAAAATTCAGTAGCATCTGTGAATCCCTTGATTTCATATGTTCGCTCAATGTGACGCTGCTGCGTCTTCTTAAGTATCGCGGGGATATACTGTTCTGGGTTTTCAACATTTTCCACTCGAACAACGCCACGTAGAAGGATGTCTTCCTCGGTGGCGTTATTACTCGGGGGTACAACTCCAGGGCAGTCAATCAGGTAAATTCTCTTCATCAACGTGATGTACTGCCATACTTTAGTCTCTCCAGGGATAGGAGCAACAGTGCACACTTTCTTCTTTCGAAGGGTGTTTATGATGGACGATTTTCCAGTGTTGGGATAGCCAATAAATCCCACTGATATTTGCTTGCGATCTGAATGGAGAATTGAAAACTGACGTAATAGCTGGATTAAAGATCCCTTGCCAAAAGAGTTATTGATGCTTGCATGGAATGCAAGTGTAGGGTACTCCTTGGATAAAGCACGAACCCAGGCAGCCTAGGACCAGAAGTTAGTCAAATGCGCCAAAATATATATTGTGTATGTATATAATGGCGAAGGTGATGGACGTAGAGATATATGAAATGTTACTAAGAGAACAGCTATCATGTCCACAATGAAGTGAAAGCGGGACTCAACTCAAAACAAGACACACCATGCCCTTTGCGACGATGCCTTCAAAACGAAAGCAAGTCAACCTCGACTTCAGAAAGAAGCCAAAGTTACGGGGGGGATTGATCTGCCATAGCGGTAACAGACCGTCTTCCATTGTAAAAACGGCAATAACTTATGCACTGGAAGAAGCCTTGACAAACGCGATGGCATCATTTGAGCGGTTCTTGGGGTGAAGGTGATCTTTTAAGGGATGATGCGGACGGTGTGTAAACTTACAGCAACGCCTGTTGGCACCAAGTCACATTTGTTTAGGACAAATATCAAATGTTTGTGTGGCGCTTCTTCCTGGATATATTTCTCGACACTTCTGCACCGAGTGCCTTCAGGATCTCTAGCATCCAAAGCATGGACAATAACGTCTGAGGAGTCAATGACTTTGTACAGTTCATTCCAGATCCGTTTACTCTGTCCCTTTGAGAAAATCGGTTCTCTGGCAGCGGTGAGTTCTGCATCATCACCGTTGGTATCAGCATTGACATCACCTGATGTACCGCTGAGCAGTTTTGCCTGCTCTAGGCGATCCAAATAGCTGTCATGCATCTTTACTGTCTCCCCGGCGAGACCTTCGAGAGAATCAACACTGAGCTTAACACGTTTTCTTTGTGCCTTGGGCCCAAAGGTGTCACTAAATGGGGCATTTTCAACTGCAATCTTAGCCTTGTGCTGCTTCAGGCCATTTGGAGCATGACCATCCCGAATAAGACTCATTGGGAGTTTATTGGTTTTTAGCAATACTTGATAAGGATCAGCCGCCTTTTCAGCAAGAGCCTCTCGGAAGGAGCTCAGAGCCTCTTGAGAAATGACTCGAGTATTCCCGAACCACTTCCTGTTCGGTTCTATCCGGGCACTTGGCTTATCTCGAGACTGGTATGATGCGGCTTTGGTGATTTTTCCAGATGCGTTCCGTTGAGCCTTTCCATCCTTAAACATATTAAGGGTCTTCACTTTTTTCGCATCTCTATACACGCACACACAACGGTTAGTCCAATGATTAACTACATAACCACCAGCAAATGTCGATCCAAGAAACGACGCAGGAGAGAACAATTCATACCTGTAGAAATTTTCGCCCTTGGTTCGAACATTGCCCATTCCATCATTACTCTTACCCTGGCGCTCTCGTCGAGACGCCTCCTTTTTGCCTGTACCCATTTTCGCAGAGATGTAACAAGAGACTGCTACTACTGAGCAAGATGTCTGTTTCGAGAGGCGCTTTGCAGTCAAAAGCCTCTCGTTGGAGTTGTTGTTGACGCTGATAAAGTCTTTTGACGATAAAAAAAATTATTTTTGTGCATTTGTGCCAAGACTTATCACCGCACGGGCCATGCTAAAACTTCTATCGCTTTTTTTCCTGTTTGAATCTTTTGGACGTTTCCTTCCCTTCTGTGCAAACGACTTGGACAGGACGGGAGTCCGCCGCAATTGATATTCACGATGGCATCCCTATTACGAGAGTGCAGTGCGAAATCATCCATGGCAATATGCCGCTCCCACACAGCCCCCGCGGCTCAGTTTCGTTTATTCTCCTCGACTGCTCGCATGATGGTCGGTCCTGAAGCGCCGGGCTATATTGATGTACCACAATCAATTCAGCCAGATCTACCCCGTCGACAACAGGTCAAGGGCACTCTACCCGTCCCTAGAGAGCTGTTTCCATCCCGTCGACCAGATAAACCCACTGAATCATACATTGCCGACGCTACACCACTGCCGTCAAGCAACACTCCAAAGGTCGCACCAGGCCATCCCCACTATGAACAGCTCGAATGGAGGCGGAAAATGGCTGGCGTTAGGAGGAAGCATCTGCGTGAAGGACTTCTAGAGCTTCATGAACGCAAGAAATCTGCCCACCAGAGAATGGTTGCGCTAAGCAACGCCAAAGAGAAGCGTCGAACTCAGATCCTCAATCAGCCAGAGCGAGATGATGACCGACTCACAGCTTCGACCACTGTTTCGGCGATGAAACCTGTAAAATGCAAAGTACTCCCAAATCCAGGCGCAGAAGAACGGTTGGCCCGATCTATGGCAAAAGTCAAGGAGATTCAGGAGGCTCGGCGTCAGGATGTGATGAACTCGATCCACGAGCTTTATTTGAACGCACAGCAATTTATCGTCAACGAAGAGCAACTCAATGCCGAGATCGATCGTGTATTCCCTATTGACAACAACCCTGACTGGGCTAACGGACGCCGCACTGGAGAGAACATCTGGAACTTGGGACCCCCACCTACAATGGCTGTCCTAGGTAATCAGACGAAGGACGAACTGACTAAATGGGAGACTGTACAACGGCGAACCAAGAGGCTTGCTGAGGAACTCACAGGAAGCAAGATATAAAACTAGTGAGACACTAATATATCATGATGTAATCATAGCATTGATTGTATAGTAGATCTTTTTTAACAATAGGGCGAATTCAGGGTTTTCCTTTTTTTTTTTTATTCAATTGTTTTTATTCAACTTGCTTGCAATTATCAAATTCATTATTGAAGACGCCTACTTGACAGGATTCTCAATTGGAGTGCAAAGATAATCATGTTATTGGGTGAAGGAGTTGATACCAATGACACAGAGATTCCCCTATATAGCCTCCCCATGGATGGGGTGGTCGGCGTATCCCATGGCCTTTACATATATTTGGGCACTTTCAAGGACTCTCTTCTTACTATTGCCGATAGTCTCACGGTCATTAAAGGCGCCGTGCACATGTTCAAAGTCGAGCGGCGCAACGGTTTTCCAGATGCGATGGATGGCATCTGGGAAGAGCGGTATCTAATAATGGCACCAACAGCGGTTAGTTCACCTGGGGTTGAGGATTGAGAGAGACGCATGTTTTATATGTCATACCAGATTCGGATATGACCACATAAAGGTATACGAAATCGTCCCTGGCTGTCTATCAACGTGGTAGACGCCGCTGGGCACAACCATGATAGTGTCAGCAACCAGCAACCGCCTCTCGTCTTCCCAGAACAAAACCGCGCTTCCCGGAAAATGCCCTCCGGCCTTGAGGATCTTAATTCTGCCGTTGAGAAGGCTCA